TGAGCGGCAACGACTTCCAGTGGTGCTTCTCGCAGGTCAAGGGGGCCAACGAGGAGGACGTGGCGGAAGAATAAAAGCCGCCCTCAATCTAGGGGAGAATATAATGTTTACAGTACCTTTCAAAGTCATGAACCAGAATTTGACTATTTGAAAAGTTTAGAAATTGAGGAAAAAATTAATAAAATTAGGTAGTTACCGCAACAGAATGCTGCTCATTTTCTGTTCTCTACAAATGATAAAACTATAAAATTATGGAAAATAAGTGAATGGGATAAGAGAGCAGAAGGTTATAACTTGACAGATGAAGATGGACGACTTCGAGATCCATTTAGAATTACAACACTACGGGTCCCAGTATTGAAGCCCATGGACCTTACGGTAGAAGCAAGTCCACGACGAATCTTTGCAAATGCTCACACATATCATATAAATTCCATTTCAGTAAATAGTGATCATGAAACGTGTCTTTCTGCAGATGACCTGAGAATGAACCTGTGGCATTTAGAAATCACAGATAGACGTTTTAACATCGTAGATATTAAGCCTGCTGGCATGTGAGGAGCTGACAGAAGTCATTACCGCAGCAGAGTTCCACCCACACCAGTGTAACGCGTTTGTCTACAGTAGCAGTAAAGGGACCATTAGACTATGTGATGTGTGTTCCTCGGCCCCGTGTGACAGACACTCAAAGTTTTTTGAAGAACCTGAGGATCCTAGCAGTAGGTCCTTCTTCTCAGAAATAATTTCATCAATATCCGATGTCAAGTTCAGTTATAGTGGTTGGTATATGATGACTAGAGACTACCTGTCGGTGAATGTATGGGACCTCAACATGGAGAGCAGGCCTGTTGAGGCTCACCAGGTCCATGAGTACCTGCGGAGCAAACTTTGTTGTCTATATGAAAATGACTGCATCTTTGACAAGTTTGAGTGCTGCTGGAATGTTCAGATAGTGCTATCATGACTGGGTCCTATAACAACTTATTTAGAATGTTTGATAGAAATACACGCAGGGATGTTACACTGGAAGCTTCAAGAGAGAACAGCAAACCCCGAGCCAGCTTAAAGCCTCGGAAAGTATGTACAGGTGGTAAGAGAAAGAAAGACGAGATTAGTGTGGACAGTTCTGGACTTCAATAAGAAGATCCTTCACACAGCCTAGCGAAAATTATTGCTGTAGCTGCCACCAATAACTTGTATATATTCCAGGACAAAATCAACTAGAGAAGTTAACTTGAGGACCAAGTCTTGTCTTGCATAGTGAAGCCGGTTGTTTTTCTGTCAGAGAAAAGGCATTATTGTCCTCTCCATTAAGAATAGTGATGCACTTAGTACATCCCTTCGTAGACACGGAGAGAGGGGCCTCAGCTGGAGTCCTGGTGTGGTTCTGCCTTCAGCGAGGTGAGAGATGGGTGCTGCTGCTCAAGTGAAAAATCCACTCGAAGCAGAATTGGTGGACATTGCTCAGTAAAGGACATTATTGAAAATTTAAAAAAAAGAGAAATTTATGTTGGGTAAATGCAGTTTACAAACTAAGTGATGCATAGTTTTTTCAAAATATGTATTTTCCAGGGATTTTTAAAGACCCTCCCCATGGTCCTTCAAATACATATCTCTTGTAGCTTTCAGTTACCCCAGCAAAACCATCATCTAAAGATTTAAATAAATTCTTGTATGAATGTTCAGACTTTTGTCTACTCATACAAGGGCTGGAGTAGAAGACGTCAAATACAAACATCTAGAAAGAGTACACTGATTGATAATTGAGGTTTTACTAGAACCCATGACCCTTAGGCTTAGGGTCACTCTTGGGTTTTTTTTTTTTTTTTTTTTTGCTTGCTTGTTTTTAGTTTGGTATGAGGCACATGCATGAGAGATAAAGTATGTGTGTGTGTGTGTGTGTGTGTGAGAGAGAGAGAGAGAGAGAGAGAGAGAGAGAGAGAGAGAGAGAGAGAGAGAGAGAGAGAGAGAGAGAGAGAGAGAGAGAGAGAGAGAGAGAAAACACCCCACGGGGGTGGGGGATGGGGTGGGGTGGCCAAACCACAATCCGTTCTCCTCTTGGGGATTTTGTGCAGACACACATGCCTGGGATGGGATGTTCTTCAAGCCACTAGGTCCCAGACTCAAACCATACAGCCACCCAGGTGGGGATCCAGCTGCCTTAACCACCATGCCACCAGGCTGGCTAAGGCTTAGGACTTTAAATCAGAAGCAGGGCTGTTAGTGAGTGGAGGGATGTTAGCTAATGGAGGTGATGTCTGAGGAGGAGCCAGGTCATCTCCACCAGCAAACCGTTTTTGGTGTGTGATTCCACTGTTTGATGTGTAGCTGGGTAGGATCTGTAGGATTGTACTTCAGATGGACAATCTGGAATCTTGGTGATGTGATACTTGTGCCACGTCCCTCGCCTGTATCTCCCTTCTCGTACTTTAGGAACTTTGGGACTAGATCGGGACAGTACAAGTGGGCCCTGCTGGGATGTACCTACAAGTCACTCACCTATACTCTTGTTGTCTGTCTTCCCTTCATGGCTCATGATCTAAGAATCATGGCTGGTGAGACACAGAAATGGTTTAGTACCTGTTGATGATAACTTGTATAGTACCCTCCACTGGACTGGTCTGAGGTGTATTTCATGTTAGGTAAGTGATGTATAGTGATTTTTTAAAAAAATTATTTTATTCTATTTCATTTATTCATTCATTTATTTTAATTTGACCAGAGAAACACAGAAAGAGAGAGAGAGGAAAGTGAGAAAGCAAGCCACCAGGTCCGGGACTCGAACCATGGTCGGCCATGTGGGGAGTGTCCAGCGCCTTAACCACCACGCCACTTGCCAGTCCCCCAATGTATAGTGATTGAACGTATAAAAATTTAAAAAGTCATGAATATATTTTTATTTTATTTTTTAATGAGAAAACTTATTGGACACAAAAAATGTACATAAATAATAAGAGGCGAGGGGATGGTGTAACAGCAGGATCAAGAATACACACAATTTATTTCACATTTAAAGCAAACTAGAACTATTATCAAATGTGCACAACATAATGGAGTGTTCAATGTTGAAGAAGAAAATAAGAATCTAGAGGTGTTTAGATTTAGACAGCCTGTGTGGAAGTGATCATCCAATGAGATTGGTCAGTCAGTCCATTCTGACGTGAAGGGAAGTCTAGAAGTTTCCCAGCAAAGGCAGCAAAATGTGACTCAAGAATGTGGGAGTGCAGGAGTGATTGGGCCCACACTTGCAGTGAGACATGGGTTCTTGTCCCATACTCAGGATTAATTAGAGGTGTGGATACAGAGAGAGGAGTTTAATAAAGTGAGAAGTTTATTAAAGGAGAAGGAAGGAACACCTGAGCTCCCAAGAAGGGAGGGATTCCGGAAAATGGGTTTCCCTGCATTTTTATTTTTTAAACTTATCAGTTATCATTCAGATAGGCACATTTAAAATGTTTCATTTTTAGAAAGATTTTTTTTTTTTGGGGGAGAGTTTTTTGCTATAGGGTGCGTGTGCTCGCCAGACAGACAGAGAGAGACATAGAGACAGAAAGTGAGAAATCCCCCCCCCCAGGGGGGTGGCCACGCCGCAATCCCTTCTCCTCCATTCTCCTCTCGGGATCTTGGGCACGCATGCACACACGCCCGGCGTGAGTTTTAAGCCACCGGGTCCGGGACGCGAACCGCGGTCGACTACATGGGAGTCCAGCGACATAGCCATTACGCTAACTGCTGGTTCCCTAGAAAGATTTTTGTTACAGGGTGCATGCACTTGTCAGAGAGACGGAGAGACTGAAAGTGAAAAATCACCCTTCCCCCATGGCGGTTGGCCATGCAACCGTCCCTTCTCCTTCATTCTCCTCTTGGAATTTTGGGCCCGCGCGCACATGTGCCCAGGGTCAGTTTTAAGCCACCAGGGCTGGGACTAGAACCATAGTTGACTATGTGGGAGACCAGCGACATAACCATTATGCATCTGCTGGTCCCCTGCAGGCATTTTAAATCCATTTGTTTCTGTTGGATTTAGGACTGTTATCATTCCTCATAAAAAGGAAGACAGCCCAGACGCTTGCTGTTCAGAAGGCTTTGTCTGGTGCATTTCAGAAACTGCTGACTGTCGCTTTAGGTAAGATTTTCTTGATTGTCCTTGATATACTTCAGCTTCAATAAGCAAATAAACTCATTTTCAAAAGTTAATTCGATGAAAATATGGATATTTATACTTTCATTCACTAAATTTATAGCTCCTGTCTAAAATTTGTTATTTGTGAGAAAAATAACAGCAAATATTGTCCTTCCTTACAGATGTAGAATGTCTAGCCTCTGTTTACACAGAAAGTAAGTGTTTGATCCAGATCTTCTTTCTCAATTGTTTGCTTATTATATAGTATAGTGACGATAAGTTTTAGATACCTAGGTTTGAGTCCTAACACTTAGATTTTAAAAAGAAAAATAATTTTCCTCAGGACGAGGGCATAATGGTTATGTCGTCATACTCCCAAATGGTCAACTGTGATTTGAGTCCTGGACCTGGTGGCTTAAACTCACACTGTGTGTGCATGCTTGCCCTACACCTCGAGAGGAGAATGGAGTAGAAGGGATTGCAGTGTAGCCATCCCCCTAGGGGGTGATTTCTCGCTTTCTGTTTTTTCTCTCTGTCTGTCTCTCTGGTGACCGCACGTGCCCTACAGCAAAAATCTCTCTAAAAAAAGAAAAGAAATATTTCCCCTTTATTCATGAGAGAGTGCTTGTGCGTGCATGAGAAAGAGAGAAACAGAGAGAGAGAGAGAGAGAGAGAGAGAGAGAGAGAGATGAGCACATTCCACAGGGTCTGATCATGCTGCAGTCCCCTTCTTCCAGTCCTCCAGTCCATCAGTCCTCGGAGTCCAGCGCTCTTAAACACCATGCCACCTGCTGGCCCCCTCTCCTCTATTTCTTTTGAATATATTTTCCCATTCTTTCCTCCTTTGCATTGTTTCTGATGAGAGGTCTGCTGTTAGCCTGATGGGATATCCTTTGTAGGTAACTTGCTGTTTTTCTCTTGCCAATCTTAGTATCTTGTCTTTGTCTGTGGTTTTGGTCAATCTGACTATAATGTGTCTTGGAGAAGATCTTCTTGTGTTGATTCTACTTGGGGTCCTTTGTATTTCTTGGGACTAGATCTTTGAATGCATCTCTAGGTTTGGAAAGTTTTCTTGTAGGATTTCATGGAATAGATTATCAATGCCCTTATGAGTCTCTTTGCCTCCTGGGATGCCAATTATCTGGATGTTTGGATATTTGATGGTGTCTAGTATTTGTCATATATTAGTCTCAAATTTTTGGGCAATTTTCTGTCTTCATGGTGGATTTTTCTAGGCCAGAAATATTCTCTTCTACATCTGAAATTCTATTTTCTGTATGATCTTGTCTGCTTTTAATACTTTCAAGAGAGATTTTGACTTCCAGTGTTATAGTCTTCATCTCTAACAGTTCCATTTGATTCTTTTGTAAAGTGTGTAATTGCTCTTTTAGATCTTGCAAGAATTTCATCACCTCCTGGAATTTGTCAGCTCCTTTCTCCTTTCTCTTCAGCAGTTCGTTGTCTCTCTTCTCTTCCATCTCTGTTAGCTTCGCTATTATGAATGCTCTACATTCTTCATCAGACATTTCCATGATTTCCATTGAACTGTCTGTGGAAGAAGAGGAGTTATTCTTTTCTCTTGGAGGAGAGGTATTTTCTTGCCTTCCCATATTTCTTGTGGTCCTGTGGTAATTTCTAGTCATCTGATGGATGGTGTGTTTCTTCCCAAACTTGAAGTTCAATCTGAGCATCCAGGAGCGTGCAGAAAAGGAAATAGAGAGAGAGAAACAACAAAGACAACCAAGAAACAGAGAAAAAGAGAAGAAAAAACTATATAAAAATTTATTATTATTTTTTTAAAAGCAAAAATTAGAAAACTGCCCGACGTGCTTGCACACCACATGAAATCACTAGTTCTCAATAGCCATGAAGGTGTCTTCTGAGACTTGCTCCCTTGCCTCTCCTGGGTTGGGAGAGGGAGAGGGGATTATTAACAAGATAAAGGGAAAGGAGGAGCTGAAAGCCAAGAGACTGCTTTACCTAACAAATTTTGAAAAGGAAAAATTACAAAAAAATGAGAAGACAGAGACAGAGGTAGAGAGACAGAGACAGAGGTAGAGAAAGACAAAGACAGAGACAGAGACAGGAGGCTTGAAAGTCTGCCTACCACGTGAGTTTGTGGGCTGGAGGCTGAATTATCAGTAGAAAATCTTCATTTTTCCTAGTCCCCTGAAATCACTAGTTCTCAGTACCCATGAAAGTGTCTTCTCACGATTGTAGAAATTTGATGGTCAGCAGAGAGTCCCTGAACAGAATTGGTCTTTTGCTTTACATTTCTGAAGGCTTAGGGTCTGAGGACTAGCTACATTATCAGAGACACTTATTTGGTGGATCTCAGCCTTCTAACCTGAGCAGCCTTTCTATTAAGTCATCCTGGGTCCAGCAGGTGTCATGGTGGTTAAGGTGCTGGACGTTCACATGGTTGACCATGGTTCAAGACCCAGACATTTCCCTGACTTTCCCTCTCTGTCTCTCTCTGATGAGCACATATGCCCTATAGCAAATTAAATAATAATAATAATAAATAAAATAAATACTTTTTTTTGAAGAGGTTTTTGCTATAGGGCGTGTGTGCTCGCCAGACAGAGAGACAGAAAGTGAGAAATCACCCCCCAGGGGGGATGGCCACGCTGCAAT